CTAAGCTCAGCAAAGTAGCTTTAGGAATCTTACATGCAACTCTGCTTTTGCTGCGCTACGGATGAGTAACAGAAAGCACCATGGAGCACTAAGTGGAATTACTACTCAGTCCTAGGTGAGACTGACCCCAGAGAGTAACAATGGGGTGAGGCCGCAGAGCCTGCATGATGCCAGGCACTATGTGACATGTAAAGGCTACATTGTGTCATAATGGGTTTCACACAGAACGCACTGCAGTCGGCTTTGCAGGGTAGACAAAGGGCTCTGAGGCTATCTATGTAGGTGGGCAGAAAGGTGAAGCATGGTTAGGTTCCGAGAAGCTAAAGAGAACTGCAATGGGCGGGAGGCAGAGCCCAACTCCACTGAGGAGCAACTTCCTTTTGGATGCCTCGGAGACAGCTTACCCTCACTAGGTATGTAGGGAAAACAAACAAAAAGACAACAACTGACTTTCCTCCTAAATGGACCCTGCCAGTCTTGTGTCTCAGGAACAATCCCATTGCTAGGTAATTCAAATCACAAATTTTACTGTTATTTTCTTCATTTCCTAAATTTATTTAAATACCATGTCCTGTGGCTTCTAACTCCTTGTTAGCATTCTACCACATCCCATTCCACTATTGTTTTTTCCCAATTGTAACTGATGTGACGCATCCACTCCTTGAGCCTGAAAACCCACTCTCCATCTTACTCCCAGAATGACCCTGGCAACATTGTCACTCATGTAGCCATCCTCTTGAAAGCCTCAGGGGCCTCCCATTGTTCTGGGGTAACACTCCTTAAAACTGCCTACAGTTCCTCTAGCTCTGGACCCTGCCTGGTAACAATGAAAAACTCTAGCATTACAGTGTCCTTCCTATGAGCTAGGCACCATGCCATGCTCTGCAGGCATTACTTCATATATTCTTACAGCAGCAATGCGAATAAAGAACTATTAGCATCACCCGCATTGGGCAGATAAGGAAACTGAGTCAAACAGCCATATGAACTCAGAGTTGTACAGATAATAAAGTATTGAAGCTAACTTCAGAGCATATGCTCTTAAATTTCATACTCCCCTTAAACCATGAACTTCAACCATCCTGAATCTCACTCAAGTCTTAGAACTCAGTTACTTGCTCTGACCATGAGGCCTTCATACAAACTATTCTCTGGGTCTGTACAAAAATCCTACTGTATGGATAATTATTCATAAGAAAAATGAACTGGTGTGTGTCCATAATACTAGCACCTGGCAGACGAGGCAGGAACCCCTATCTCAAAGTGAATAAATGAATGAATGAATACTAAATCTCCCTTTAAAGGCATTTGCCTCAAGGAACTCTCCCCTTACCAGACCAAATGAAATGTTCATTTACTTCTTTCTGACCCATTAGCCCTCAGCAGAATATCCGAATCTTTACCACTGGTTCCAGTCCTTGCTACGGCATTCACTATTCGTTGCTCAAATGCATGCATGCATGGATGGATGGATGGATGGATGGATGGATGGATGGATGGATGGATGGATGCTCCATAAAATGGAAGTGTCACCTAAGTGGACTGATGTAAGACAGAAAGAAAGCAAATAAATTTGTTTATCCACTGGATATTTATTTAGTAACTTCCAGGTCCCAGCCAATACTCTTGAGAACTTAGAGCCCTTCTGGGGAACACATATGTATCAACACGAAATTACAGAACAATATAAACCAAGTATCCTATAATAATGGCAGCAGTAAGGTATAATAGATGCAGAACAGAAAAAGGAATGTAAGTCTATAGGAAATCTCTACAGTACAGAATACTGACACTTTCGGCAGAACAAATTGGCTGAAAAATCATTTTACATCGTCTATATATTGCACCTGTGAAAGGGGAGAGGCGCATTCACTGGCTATGGCAGCACTTAGCATCCATTTCATTCCCACAAAAGCTGTGTTCTTATCTTGATTTCACAGATGTGAAAATCGAACACAAGGAAAGTCAAGGAACTTGCCCAAGGTCATGGCAGTAAATTACTGAGGAAGCTTTTGACCTTAGCTCTGCCTCTTAGGCCTTCCTCTTAAGTGTCCCTCTTAGGCCCGCCTCTTCTGCCTGCCTCTTCTGCCTGCCTCTGGTACATGTACTTACTACTGGGCTGCAGTTCTCTGATACAGTACTCCCCAGAGCCTGAGTATTTTTATTTTCAATATTAAAAAATTCATTATCTACTTTCCCACTCAAATGTAAATAAGCAGCAAGATGAAAGGCCAAGAAGACACCAAAGTGAAGTAGAGTAACAACAGGGGAGGGCAAAATCCCCTAACTACTAGGTGAAAAACTTCAAAGCTGTGGTTCATGTAGTTCCAAATAGTCCATAACAGTATTTGATGTGCACAATTATGACCCCATTAATAAAAACATAACTATATGGAGGTCTAAAAGAAGTGGATCCTTATGCCAGGGATGGAATGTACATGCACTGAAAATTAGTTAATTCCTTGCTGGTAAAATGAGTTATAATAGTTGATTCTAAAGTGTCTGTAAGGAATATTTGAAGATCTTAGCTTTTTAAGATCATCATTTTATCAATTTGATTGTTTTTCTTTTGTTTTATTTAAATTCAAGCCATTACAGAAAACTGCCATATCTTAATCCACAATCACTGAGCATTCTTCACATCTATAAACATTTCATCCATTCCTTCCAATGAAACAGGGTAAAGTGATAGTGAAAAAAAAAATGGTAGGACATTACAGTATTTTAAACCTTACTGCACTTACAATTTAAGTAGATTCACATGTAAAACCACAAAAGAAACAATTTAGGGGAACACAAAATAACTGAACAGCAATGTATTTCTAGTAAATGCCTACCAATTGCCTTACCTGGGTCTAACTTTTTATTTATTTATTTATTTTTTATTTTTCAGGCAGGGTCTTGCCATGTAGCCATGTACTGACTTGGTACTCATCATGTGGCCAGGCTGGTCTTGAACTCCTGACAGTATTATTTGTGCCTCAACCTCCTGTGAGTACCGAGGGTCAGCTACTACACACCTAACTTTGGGTCCAACCAGGCAACCTGGATATGCTAACTCCTCTGTGACTTAGGCTGGTTTTATTATTATTATTTTCTAGCTTTGTTTTAGGATGCATTTAGGAAATGAAATCCTGCCTTTGTTGTGAAAAGCCAGAAAAGACTATTCGGACATCCGCCAGGTACCTTGAACAAATATAAACCATTTAATATCACTTTCTCACTTTAGAGGCTTTTACAACACTGTAACAATGTGAAAAGTACACCGGCTACACTTGGCAACAAACAAAAAGAAATACAAGGACTTATAATTAACTTTCACATATATTCTTTCCCACCAGCAACGCCATTTCCGCCTAAAACGCCATAAAAGCAACTCTTGCCCACCTGTTTTTGAAAACCGTTTTTAGCTTACGCAGTTCAGTTTGGGCTCAACATTCAGTGTTTTACCGTACCCTCCAATGCTTAGTGAAGTCATATTAAGAGCTAACACGACAACCCGTTACCCGATGGAAGCAAAGGCGACTTGAATAACTTGCAAGTCCAATCTCACCGTCCAGTTATTCTAATAATGCTCTTACCTCGACGCTCTTCAGGATGAACTGGCTTCTCTCTCTCACGTCTTTAAAGGGGCACCTCTTAGAAAGCATAAGCAGATGAGCAAGGAGCTTATTCATCCCATCCAAAGAAGCAGCATTGGAAAGCCCGTCTGAAGGTCGATAATGCGTCTCCTTTACTGAACGGAGGTATTCGGTTTTTCTCAAAACGACCTGCCTGATGTTTTCCAGCGCTGTCTCCCTGGTACCCGAGTCTCTGCTGCATAAGCCATCCCACCTCACTTCATTCTCTCCTTCAGCCATGGCAATCGGCAGCTTCTCTTTTGCAGTCTTCAGCATTTCCTCCAAAGCAGTCTGTTCTTTTTTTAAACCGAGGAACGTAAGGATAAAGTCAGAGAAACCCAGTCGTCATGAAAACAAGCGTCTGGGTGGCACTGGGAACCACACGCGCCTTCTAAGTGGATGCTTTCCAATCGATCCACAGGCTGGATCGCCCTTGCACCCAGTCCTAAACGAAGGGGCAGACAGTCTGCTGGTCGGAGATTGGAAAAACAAAGTCGGCAAGTTGCAATCTTACAGAGCTGATTAGCTGGGCAGGGAGCCCCGGGGAAGCGTTCCCTGTGCCGCGGGGTCAGCGGATATCCTCGCGTCGTGGAGCTGTCAAATCCGAGCTGGGCCCCACAAGGCTGGCAGCCGTGGCAGGCTCCCCTCCAGCCATTCCGGGCTTTTTGTCTGTGCAGCGGTGCTCCAGCGCGTCCCCACCCCGCCCCTCGTGCGGCTCCAGTCTCCGCCCCCCTCGGCCCCTCCTCGCGCCTCGGCGGGGCGGCCGGGCTTGGCCGCAGACCCTCACCCCTGGGCTGCCCGGCCCGAGGCTCCGCCGCCCCGGGGCCCGCGGTGCGCACCGCTCACGGCGCCAGCGGCCACGGAGGTCGGCGTCCCCGACCCTGCCCTCCTCCCCCGGGATGCAGCGCCGCTTCCCCGCCGCCGCCCCCGACTGCTGTGCGCGCGGCCCAGCGGTCCCCGAGCCCCGGGCTGCGCCGCCAAGCGCAGGGCCCGCCCCTCGCCCAGCCCCGACGGCGGGGGCGGGGACGGAGCCGGGGCCTCGCCCGCAGCCCCTCCCCCGCCCCATGCCCGCCTCTCCTCTCCTCTCCTCTCCGCCCCGGCCCTCGCGGCCCGGCCGTCGGAAGAGCCCCGCCCTCCGGGGCCGGCACCTCCGGACCCCGAGCCCGCCGCGCGCCGCCAGCCCGTGCCGGCTGCTGCGCGTGCGCGGCGCCGCGCGAGCGGGGGGGGGGCGGAGGGGAGGCGCATGCGCGCTCCGCGGCGGTTTCCGTCACCCCCCCCCCGACGTTTGGTGGCGCTGGCCCGGAGAAAGGGGAAAGGAAAAGTAAGCAGTGCAAATGCCGCCGCGCAAGACGATCGCAGCGAATAAGGGGCTCGATGGTGTCCCAGACAGAATGGGATGCAGGCGAAGACTGACATAAATAATCGTGACGGCCGGAGCCCCCCCACCCCACCCTCCCAGCTTCAGGAGGCAGGGCGTCCTCGCGCTGGCTTTCGGGAAATGTAGTTGTAATGCTACCGACGCCGGCCGTTTGCGACAGAAACTACAACCCCCACAGGCCACCGCGACGCCGGCCGCTGCCGGCGAACCAACGGTCCCGGAGGAGTTCGGGGTTAACTGGGAGCGTCCATCTGGTAAGCGTGGCGGGCTTGGCCGTGACCCGTTCCTCCCTTCCTCCATCCCAAAGCCAGGCAGACCGGGAAGGGCTCGGGGCCGCTGCCCCCGCAGCCCGCCCGCAAGCCGGATGGCTCCGGGGTCCCCGTGCGCTGCAAACGCACCTCTGCTTTCCCACGGACCCGTTTTGTGCCGTATTTCCTCAGCCGAATAGAATCCGAGGGTGAGCTTTGAAAGCAAGAGACTGATAAGAACTCCCCGTGTTCTTAGGTTTGAAGGCTAGCAAACTTTGAAAGGTTCTGTATGAAAAGAAGCCTGCAAAAAAAAAAAAAAAAGGGGGGGGGGGTAATTCAGTTGTCCTGGAGGTGTTTTGAAGTAATTATACTTGAGAAAACTAAGGTTTGGAAGTTTTGTTTTGTTTTGTTTTAATAGTAATCAGATTAAACTTTAATTCTTTGTTTTACAGAGTAAATGTAGTCATAAAATGTTAACCGGGACCTAGAGAGATGGCTCAACAGTTAAGAACACTTGTCCTTACAGAGGACCCTCGTGGTAGCTCACAACCATCCATAGCTCCGGTTCCAGGGGACCTGATGACTTCTTCTGACCCCAGCAGACACATGCAAACGGCACAGTCGTACACAAAATAAATCAGCAAACATAATAAACCAACTGGGCCTTGAATGTGTGTAACAGTGTGTAACGAAGATACGCCTTTGTTTTACTAGAAAACTAGTGTGTAAATCCACAGTTGTGATGCTGTTTAACATTGTTGGGGTGGCTAGAGGAACATTTAGCCCAGCCTTGGAAGACTTCATCCCGAGGGAGACAAAGGCCAAAAAAAAAAAAAAAAACAGCATTTGAGGCTTCAGCCGACTAATGTCCGCTGAGTGTGACGGTGTTTTTTGTTTTGTTTGCAGGCTTTTCCAGTTATCTGCAAGTTAATTTATATGCTTTGCAGTAGTTGAGGAAACAGAAGATGCCATTTGTAGTAGAAGTAAAGAAAGGAGGGAATTTCTGAAGTCACTAGCTGATTGGGTTCTAGTGATCATCCCATAGTCGACACCATAATTGTCTAGGTGGGGCTTGCTTCAGTCTGAGCATTAAGGAAAGAGGGAAGGAATGGGCTGAGACATTGTGGAGGGACTGGGCCAGGAACCTGTATTACAGAACTAATTGGAAATAAGCCCCTTGTGACCGGACTGAGTGGTGTAATCTGTCGTCCTTTGCTGGGGAAGTGAAGGCAGGAGTTTGAAGGCAGCCTGGGTAAAACAAAAGGAAGGGATTCCCACCTGCTTGCATGGGGAGGTGTGCACATTTGTTTATGGGAGAGGGCAGTAGATGGCCATTGCCTTGGGATGTGGAAGAGAAAGGAGAACTTAACTGTAGAAGTTTGAGGTGTCCTTGTAATGGCAATGGCTGTCGATTTCGACAAAGGAGGTACACTGCTTGAAGTTCTGTGTATGTGGGTTATCAGTAGGTGTGGTTCTGAAGGAGCAGCCAGGTTGGAGGGGAACCCCCCCCCCAATGTTTTGTCCTAGAAACAAAATGAAGAAAGAGTTAGGAAAGACTGTTAATTGATCTAGGTCCAATGGAATGAGGACTAATTGGCCACTACACTTATCAGTGCGGAGATTATTAAATAGAGGGCGTAGGAAGCCATTGCTTAGGACTTGAGCTCTTGTGCTGCCCGGCTCCCAACCCCCAGATCAGACAAAAAGAAAAAAATCAAAATGGCCATCCTTGCTAATGTTCCACATATCCAAACTGAATACATTGTTACCTGGCCTGAGAAGTCAGGAGAATGAGAGGGGATGGGATTTCCCAAATTACCATTTGGCATGATAGTGTGTTGCCTCTGCATTGATCCCTACATTCTTTAATTCTTCCAAATAATAACACGAAGTATCTGATGTTAACTAGTTCCTTCCTTTTGTGCTGTCTCTCTGCCCTGACCTTTGGCAAAAAGTAACTCTGAAATGATGAGTCTGCTTTGGCTGTTTCTGCTTTGTGTTTTAGCCTCTCTAGCTATAAAGCTACCTTCTCTGTCACCCACTGAAATACTCAGCTTATGTTATGGAATAAAGTGTTGCTCCATCCCAGACTTGAAAATAAAGCTAATTTAAGGATTTTAAATTGCTACTTTGTTGTTTGAGAAGGTCATTGGCTGTGTTGACAAGAGACACAGCATCTTTATCATTGTTTCCTCTGTCCAGGCTGCCTCATTGTCTTCCTTTGTTGATCTTAGGTCAACTACTTCTTGTTCAAAGACCTGTCCCTAATTAGAGAAACAAAGAAACTTACTTTTATTGCAGTATGTATCTTTATTGGCTAGTGTGTTGCAAATGCAGTTTTCAATTACACTCTCCATAATTTGATTGGCACCTGGCCTTGTAAAGGCTGAGCACCCTAGAGCATCTACGTGTCTGGTTTGCTCAGCCTGGCCAAAGCTCAGTAGGTTGCCTGATTCCCTACATAGACTCAACAAATGCTTGATGTTTGTTGTGTGTGCTGACCCTTATTTGTTATCCCAGCACTCTGGAAGCGGACACAGGAGGATCAGGAGTTCAAGACCAGCTTGAGCTACTTAGTGAGACCTTGTTTGGGGAGGGGAAGGTGAATAAGCATCGAACCAATGGATGAGACCACTCTCATGGTACTTTCAAGAGTACTTGAAGGCCAGAAATTATAATCAGTGCACCAAACCCAAGATGAATGATTAATAGGTGTTCATTGAACATGAATTTACACAGATAACAGTAAGACCCTGCCTCCCTGATGCTCTCTGAGACCCAAGGGGCTTCTGTGTCCCCATGCCCCCCCCCAAAAAAACAGGTCATGTCTGTACCTATAACCACTCCCAAAAGTGGCCATTGTTACAGTTTCATAGGCGAGATACCACTACAAATACTACTACATATTAATGAAAAAAAGCTGGGTGCCTGATAGAAGGAAGTATAGTGAAAGCATTTTAGGAAAATATATTTTTATGAGATATTTATTAAGATTCCTGCAAACAATTTTTAAACTGATTCAGTGGAACCAGCTTCATAAAAACGCCAAGACCGAGTAGCCACAGATCTCAACTACATCACCTCTTCATCCAGCGTTCTCTTTCCTAACCCTCTTCCAGATGTAGCTCAGAGTAGAATTCATCCTCCTGGGGTATTCTGCTCGCATACAGCTTGCACATCCTTGTCTACTGTGTCACTGCTCATCAGTCATAGCTTTCTGCGTCTTGAGTGTTGTAATACCATTTGTAAATACCATCCAGCCACTGGCCTGACTGCAACAGTTAGCCTATCCAACATTTTAAGCCCAGGAAACAGTTCTTTTGTTTTTCTTTTTTAGGATGATTTTAATTAAAATAACAAGCTGTAAGGTCTCTGGGCAATGCTTAAAATAGAGCAAAAATTAGCGTGTTAGTTGCATATCCTACAGTGCAGTAGTCCCTTTCATGAGAGCAAAAGCTCTGTGATGGCTGTTCTTGCTTGTCAACTTGACTTCATGTGGGATTAACTGAAACCTAAGCGGCTGGGCACACCTCGAGGGATTGTTAGTTAACTGGATTGTTTGAGCTCAGAAGACACCCAAATCTGGGCCACACTGTCTCCTAGCAGCTTGTATGAAGGCCTGGGAAGAAAGATACGTCTGCCTTTCGCCTGCTTGTCCTCTTCTCACTGGCAATTTTTTCTACTCCTCTGCTGAGGAATTCCTTCACTGACATTGCAGCCTGCTTCTCTGGGATTTCAGTGATGCATACCAAAGACCATCTGAGACATCCATCCTTATGGACTGAACAGCTATTGGGGTCTTTGACTTCCCATTTAGAGACAGCCGTGGTTGGACTAGCTAGTTGGAGCACAGCCTGTCAGCCACTCTAATAAATCATACACACACATAGTGTATGTGTCACACATGTATGTATGTATGTATGGCTTTCTAGAAGTTTCCATGTTATTCTATACCCTCCCCCTTTTTAAAAGATGTCCTCACTGAAAGGAGGGACCCTGAAGCACAGAGGTAAAGGGACTGACGTGAGGGTTAGACTGTAGGGAGACACATAGGAACTGGGTTCCTTCCTGTAGGAAATTTACACACAAAACTACCATTCCTTAGAACTTAGAATCAACAAGAGAAATGAAGATCACTTAATGGGGTCACTTAGTACTGTTAAGTATTAAGTTCAGGGCTAACTTGGGCTACAGGATACCCTGTCCCAAGGGAGAGGGAAACTTACTGCTAAGAAACGTGGTGCTAACCCTAATAAAATAGGGTTTTGTTAATTTTTTAAAATACAGCCTTATGTGTTTTTTCCAGTTGAAAGATAGGGTAGACATGTAGCTCAATGGTAGCTTAGCGTGTGCTCAGGGCTACTTAGCATGTGCTGATGCCCAGGGTTCATTCTCCAACACTAAAAGAAGAAAAACAAACAGGGAGGATGGTTAGAAACAGTTCACATTGTGCTTATCTGTAGTCCCAAGTGTGAGACTTGGGCTGAAGGGCTGCTTGAAGCTATAATTTCCAGACCAACCTCTCAGAGCAGGCAAGGACACTGTATAAAAGTGTGAAATGATGTGACCACCTTATCAAGATTGTACACTAGTCAGGGAGAAACTGACCTAGATGCCTCCAACATGGACATTCATTATGAAATTCATTGATGAAATTTAATTAAATCAAGGAAATGCATTGATAACAATAAAATAGGGCTCCTAGCTCTTGTGAGCTTGGGGACACAATCTTGTCCACATACAAGAATTGTAAGATGCACACACAAATACATGCATTAATACATGACTGGTAAATTTATCAGGATGATAATTTATTAACATACATTGGAAGGCCTGTCAAGTAAGTAGCCTATTGGTTTTCCTGCTAGGTTTTTTCCCCCTTCCTGTAGGAAATTTACACAAGAAACTATCATATTGCCTTGGAACATGGAATCAAGAAGAGAAACGAGGCTATGTGTGGTCAGTTAATACCGTTCAGCTGTGAGAAACCTCCGAGGCAGGGTTTT